TTCTTGAAACAATGCGTATTAATGCGTTTCCATAATGATCACGTAAATATAAATATAGCAGTTCTGGTCGTTCTCCTTTCTCATCCGTAACATTGCCTGAACTGCAGACAGACACTCCGAAACACAGCTGACATGCAACTACATCAATGTGGTGGTTCTAATCTGCTCGAAACACAAACAGGCAAAATTTTTCAATTTGTATCCACACTCCCACACAAATATGCATGCAGATTTGTCGGAGTAAAGTGCATGCTCTGTTCAAAAATTCCACGATGCAAAATTTCAAATAATTCAAAGCACCAAAAATGAAATAAAAGCATGCTTTTCGGATGCGAACGTACCAACGTCCAATATCTATCAATATAAGCTCCCCATAACATAAAATAGTGGCCAACTGTGCAAATAATGCCAATTATCAGAAGCGCTTCAAACCAAGATAATTTCCGCGCACGCCTGCAGCATAATGATGATATTTAACGTGTCAAGTGGTGCACAAACTAGTATGTGTCTCTTTTATGAATTTTGCTATTAATGACCTGTAATAGAACAACGGCTGTTTCCAATCGGGAAGGCCATTTTCCAGAATATCATCATATTTCTTCCGCAGATCCGTTGTTTTCAGGACTTCATATATAGCAGCGAGCTGCAAAATGCCTGAACTTCACTGACAACGGCACCTTCATCGCAAACACCACAACAGAACAATTAACGGCTAGGATTAAAATTCACCTTACGGAACTGTTCATCAGCATTTTCGTCCGGATTTCGATCGGGATGTCGATCCATGCTCATCCGTCGATATGCTTTTTTGATATCAGTTAAAGGTGCATCCTAAACAGGGAAATATGAATGGGGACAAAATATGACCAATAAGAATTCACTTTATTCCGCAATTATATAAAATTATCACTGCGTAAGTCAAAACAGAATTGTAACTTCAAATGAGATGCGCATCAGCCTGGTAAGAATGAGAGGTAACAGATGGGCGAAACGAATAGCTAAATGGTACTCACGAAGCGTTAGAAATAATAATGGGAAGT